ACTCAAAGATCTTCATGAGACTTTCAAAGATCTTAGTGAGAATGTCAAAGACATGAAAAAGGATAAGTCAGAAAATGAGCATACACTAACTGAAATAAAGAATAATATACAGAGATTTAACAATAGAGTAGAGGATTCTGAGAATCAAATCAATGATTTGGAATATGAGGAACCAAAAAACACCCAATCAAAAGAGCAAAAAGAAAAAAGAATCTAAAACTATGAAGACAGTGCAAGGAGCCTCTGGGACAAGTTCAAACGTACCAACATTTGCATTATGGGGGTGCCAGAAGAAGAGAGCGAGCAAAAACCTATTTGAAGAAATAATGACAGAAAACTTCCCCTACCTGGTGAAAGAATCTTAAAAGCAGCAAGAGAAAAGCAGTTAGTTACTATACCTACAAGGGAACGCCCATATGACTGTTAGCTGATTTCTCAACAGAAACTTGGCAGGCCAGAAGGGAGTGGAAAGAAATATTCAAAGTGATGAATAGTAAGGTCCTACAATCAAGATTACTCTACCCAGCAAAACTCTCATTTAAAATTGAGGGCCAGATAAAGAGTTTCACAAACAAGAAAAAGCTAAAGGAGTACATCACCATCAAACCAATATTACATGGAATGTTGAAGAATATTTAAAAAGAGGAAGAAGAGATAAAAAATATTAACAATATGGCAACAAATACATCTCTATCAATTGCATCTAAAAATCAAAATAAACGAACAAGAAATCTAATGAACAAAATAAACTGGCGAATAAAATAGAATCAGAGGCAGGGAAGCATGGAACTGACTGACGAATCTCAGAGGGAAAGGGGGAAGGGGTGTGGGAAGAGATGAACCAAAGGTCTTACCTATGGACACAGACCTGGGTGGGTGGGAACCAGGTGGAGGGGTGAATGGGGACATCTGTAATACTCTCAACAATAAAGATTTAAAAAAAAAAAAAAAAAGAATACCCTCCTGGCCTATCTAAATCCTATTAATCCCACAAGGCCAAATTCAATCCCATCTGGACAAAAGCCCTCTCCAATCACCCTAGTCCGTTTTGGTCCCTGTCACTCTTATAATTGACTGTCTTAAGTTTATTGATTACTTTTGTATGTGTTAATGTTCTCTCCAACTTGTCTGCAAATATCATCGAGGCAGAGCTTCCATCTCACACTCTTCCATGCTGGGGCCTCACTCAGTGAGCTCGGGCACTTCACTCACAAGGCCAGGATTTCCCGGTCTCAATACCAGCTATGGCAGCCACAACACTCCCCCTTTCCCTACCTTGTGTCTGCAATCAAGAGAGTTCAAGGAAATCAAGAAACCATTCAAGCAGAGGTTGGTGACTCCTGTAGATAATTAACAAATACAGACTTTCTGTGTTTCTACTCACCGCCTCACCGGCCTTGGTCTGGATCCTTTCTAACTTTCCTTCTTTTCTTAGCTAGAAAAGAAAGATAAAGATGAAAAAAAAAAAAGTGAGTCCATAGTAAATAATAACAAACTCTTACTATGCTAGGCATAGGCTGGATTTCTGGATTCCTGGTCCAGTCACTATTTCATTTTCAAATTAAATATAAAAGGGACAGAAGTTGCTAGAGGAAATCTTAAGGTTTGAGTCCCCCTGCCTGTCTCTGAGCTCACCAACTTCTCCTCTTCAAACAGCTTCTTGTTTTCAGGGGATGCGTATACAGCCAGTCCCTGAGGAAGCAGCCGGTTCCGGCCCAGAGATTTCTCCACTGAAACCAAGTCACCGCGGACTCCGAGCTCTGCCAAAGCGAACAGACACTGGGTCAGACGAGCTGGAGTCCCCAGGGAAGGAGATGACCAAAGCAAGAAGCGCCTCTGATTCTCTCAGCTCTGTTCTTCCTAGAAGAATGTTAACATTCACCGGGAACAACATTTAAGAGGCTTCTAATTAGTGAGGGTCTGATTCAGAAGCTTGATATTCTCTATACAAAGTGAAGCGTGTCCAATCCCAGGGTTTCGGGATCGGCGCGCGTAGGCCTCCCCGCCTCCTGCGCCCACACTTACTGAGGATCCCGCAGCCCTGTCCTCCTCCACAGGCCAACATCGCCATCACAGCGCTGTGCACGCCTTTCTCCTCAATCAAAGTAGGAAAGGGCAGGAAAGAGCTGGTGCCAAACAGGCCCGGCCTGAGGTAGAGGCACCCGTGCCCCAGCCTTACCCTCCACCGACTGCGTGAGGATGAGCTCCAGGTTGTCTTTGGGCCGGTGCTTCGTGTCCTCCACCAGCCGGTAGACGCGGTGCCGCCGGTGCAGGCGCGGCTTCCGACCCTTCCCGGCCAGCGGCACCTTCCACCAGCGCTCCACGATGACCGTGCCCTGGCGGCCGGAGAGCGGGTGAGCGAGTCTCCGCGGAGTGGTCCCTCCGTCCCCCCTGCGTCCGCCCCTCCAGGGGAGCCCGCCACGGCTCAACGCCCCCCAGAAACGCGACGGGCGTAAATGGCCCCGCCAAAGTCAAGGGTCCCGTAAGCTAGACCCGGCCCTCACCCGGTTGTGAGAGAGGCTGAAGCCGCGCTCCGGGCCGGGGGTGCCCCCTTGGAGTTGCGGCCGGAGCAGCGCCCCGACTCGTCCTCGCAGTAGCTGCTCAGCGGCCACGCGCAGCAGAGCCCAGCCGGGGACCGCCATGTTCCCGGGAGCGGAGGGGGCCAGGAGGCGGCCCGCGCCTGCGCAAGGAAGGCCCCGCCGGGTGCCCGCGGCGCGCCTGAGGCGACGCGGATTGGTCCCGGCGGAGCCGAGGGGCAGGCGCGGGGCGGGGAGAGGGAGGGGGGCGGTCTCGGCTTCCGGCGTAGCCGCAGCCCGAGACCTGAGAGCTGAGCCGACGCTCCCCGACTGAGCGTCTCCCTCACGCCTTCTCCCCGTTCCTCTTCGGGGGACGGACGCCCACTCTGCCGCCATAGGAAGACCCTCTCCCCCTGGTTTCGGTGTGGCCTTAAGTCATGCCAACCTGACAGTCTAGGAAACGACACGGAGGGGTCCCTTCTTACTTGGCAGCTACCTGAAGGTGGTGAAAGGATGGGTCTGTCTGGAAAACTATACCAGCCCAGGAGCTAACTCTTAATCTTTACAACGGCAGTATTTAAGCTAATATTTAAAGAATTCTCCATCACTAGGGAGATAAGCCTGAGAAAAACTAAACATGACCAGGCCCAGACGGCTCTCTCTATGGAGGGTCGCAGTGCTGGAGAGAAGACCAGATAAATGGAGTACTCGGCAGAGGAGATTATGGGAAGACGCCTATGCTTCTTCCCTTCCTGCGTCACCAGGTTTCTTCCGTCTCCTTTGCCGACTTCTCCTTTCTCCCTTCTTAGGGTGGACACTCTTCTCAATACACACACTCCTGACACCTCATGCAGTCTCAGGGCTTAGAGGACTGTGAATGTGCAGTGACTTCCAAATTCCTGTCTCCATCCTAGACTTCTAAGCTCCAGCCTTGAATATCCAACTGCTTATTTATCATCTCCCCTTACGTGTCTAAGGGACCACGCGAAATTAACAAGCTCCAAACTAAACCCATCTCTAGCCTCCTGCCCAAACTCCCTCACCTGGAGCCTTCCCATCTCAGTTGATGGAAACTCCATTCTTTCAGTTCTGGGACCCACCTTCTTCCTCTCATACCCCAGGAAATCCTGTGGGTTCGTTCTAGTTACAAAATCCGACCACTTCCCACCACCACTGATCCTTCTCAATTACTGCATTGGTCTCCTGACAAATCTCCCTTCAATGCTCTGCAGTTACATCAGAATGTAAGACAGATCATGTCACTATTCTAGCCAAAACTCTGAAATTACTTCCCCCTTCACTCAGAGTGAAAAAGTCCAGGCAATGGTCTGATAGCTCTCTGACCTCATCTCCCTCTGTTCTCCCTTCAGCTTACACTGCTCTACTCACAGTAGGCTCCTTGCTATTTCTTGAAAACACTAAGGCACAGGGTTTTTTGCACTGTTGTTGTGTAGGCATGGAATGCTCTTACCTCCAATGTTGGCTTGGCTAACTCCCTCACCTCCTTCACATCTTTGATTAAATGTCACCTTTCCGATGAGGCCCACTTGTGTCACCCTATTTATTACTGCAGCCTGTCCCACCCCCTTCAAACTCCTGACCCTCCTTTATCCTGCTCTATTTTTTCTTCATTGCATATTATCTTCTAACATATTAAAGGACTTTCTTATGCTTATTACTGTTTGTTCTCTGTGTTAGAAGTTATGTTCCATGGGTCAGGGATCTTTATTTACTGATATATCCCAGGCACCTAAAATAGTGTCTGGCTCATAGAAGGCCCTCAAATATTTGTTGAATAGATGAGTGAGGTCTCAAACTGATGGCCCCAGAACTTAATTTTACTCACAATGTTGCTTTAAAATAAGTTTTGAGTTAGTAGTATTTTTTTAAAAATTAAATTTACCACAAAAATCTGTCCAGTTTCTGTTGAAAAATCATACAATCTGGTACCACGGAGCCTGCATTTCTGCATGGCAACTGGAGGGATGGAGTGGAGTTGTGTTGGCTTCTGAGAGACAGGGTGTGAGCTTTCCATTTTGCTACAGCCTCACCCAGAAGCTCCACTAATTCCCTTTAGCTGTCCAGAGCCCTAGAGACAGTTAGTTTGCAATTCCTACAAAGCAGTTAGAAAGTTCAAAAATGTGTAGCACCCCTGGGTTGTTAAAGGTAGGGATAATAATGAAAATATTGAATTGATAGAAACCAACCAATCAGGTCAGACCCTGGATAAGGATCTTGGGAGCTTCTTGCAGTGTCAGACACGAACCCTTTAGTTGCTGAATTTTAGGGGAAGTGGTATGTGTGTTGGGAGGGGGCACAACACATGCCGAGGCAGGGCTGTTTACCCCTGGTCCAGTTGTGAAGTGCACACTTGGCTAAAGGGAAAGGGTGGGGTAGGGGAGCAGCAGGAAGAGTCCTGAAGTGACATAAGGGCTGACTCCTTGTGCATGTCATAGTGCCCATCAGGTCACAATGGTGCCAGACTGCCTAAATCTTTGTCACCCATCTCTGAACCTCACTTTGCCACAGGGAGGCACTGAACCGAGAAACTGCCTTGTAACAGGTGGCGCCCCTCTCTCTACTCCCTTTCTTATATCAAGAGGGGAAAAACACGGAACTACTACTACCCAATCTGGTCACCATACGCCTATTACTTCTACTGTTACAAATACCGGATCACCCTCCGGGAGAAGATGCTGCCTTGGGCTAAAAGGTACTTGTTTTCATCTCTACTTGTAATAGTTTCTGTAAATGGTAAGGAAAAATAAAAGAATTTGGAAGAACTTTCCAAGTGGCAAGAGATGATAAGAGCAAAATAGGGTGGAAGGCTGCCATGGAACTTCAGAATTTTTCCAACTGGGTTGACCTGGGAAAATGGAAATAGGCTCATCTAGGGAAGATACAGAAGACAGTGCCAGAGCCTGGTCCTGTGTTCCTGGAAGTTAGGACCCTCTCCCCACCTCAGACTAAGAGGTAAACTAATTTGGGTCTCTTTTTCCCAACCAGCATCACTTGTAAGGAACAGGAGGACTTGACACTCCGGCCCCGTTCCTGCCTTCAGTGCTCCTGATTCCCCAGTAGGCCTCCAGATGGGCAGAAGCACCAAGCAGAGTGACCATGATCAGCTTAAAGAACTGTACTCGGTAAGCAGAGTGTGAGCTGGTGCTGTGAGTTGGTGTCAGGCAGCCCCATGCCTACTGTAATGATACCGTGCAGAGAAGGAACATTAGAAAGAGCAAGATGAGACCTCAAAGCTCATGTGTAAAAACTACTTGCTTTATAGACAATGATTCTGCCTAGAGATCTTCAGGTGGGAACCAAGAGCAGAATGTATTGAGACTTGCAGGACATAAGGCTGTTCAGATGCTTACTTGGACTAGAACCCAGAACTCCTGCACTTGCCCTTATATCACTTTGCAATAACATGCCTGTGTGTGACGTTTGCATTTTAGATGAGAAATGGGAGACATTACAGAAAACCCATATGATGGGGAAAAGTGGAAGAGTATTATCAGTGAGACAGTAAACAAATGAGACAGCTTTGTTGCTGGTGTGTCTCAGTGGTTGAGCATTGACCTATGAACCAGGATGGTCACGGTTCTTTCAGCCAGGGCACATGTTTGGGTTGTGGGCTCGATTCCCAGTAGGGGATGTGCAGGAGGCAGCCGATCAGTGATTCTCTCTCATTATTGATGTTTCTCTCTCTCCCTTCCTCTCTGAAATCAATTAAAAATATTAAAAAAATAAGCTCTCTGATGTAAATGGCAGTTTCTAAAGGGATAGTACATCCTGAGGTGAGGTTAGCAGGCAGTAATCCTGCACTGAATCTGGATTTCAGACGTTTGGTATCCAGGAGAACTCCATGACAGGGATGGAGTTAGGTCCTAGGTCTAAGAGATCTATATTGTCGAATAAGACGTTGGCTCCAACTCTCCCAGGCTCTCCATCAGCCCCTTCCTTGCTTCCTCAGACACCCAAATCGGCCCGAGACCTGATATGTGAGGACTAGAAGCACACAAAAGCAGGGGACTATTAATCTCATTTGTATTCCTTTTCCAGGCTGGGAATTTGACAGTGCTGGCTACTGATGCCCTGCTCCACCAGGACCCAGTGCAGTTAGATTTCCATTTCCGCCTCACCCCCCAGACCTCTGTCCATTGGCACGGCCTTCTCTGTGACCGTCAGCTTTTCCTGGATATCCCATATCGGGCCTTGGATCAAGGCAACCAGAAAAGGTGACTGAGCCTGGATGGTAGAGTGGGGAGGGATGGGGGTTGGGGTTTCACTATTTGATCATGTCATCATCAGGTACTGGGTATACTAGCCAGTGAGGGCTGATTCAGGAGCTGAATACTTTCAAACCAATGAAATGGCATGCAGACAGGCCTGTGACCAGCCTGGATCTGGAGTTCAAGGGATAACAACCCATGGGAGGTTGCTGGATTCAGAGTGAGAAACACAGAAGGGAGAATCCCTTCTGTGTTTGAATAGGATGTGCTTTCCAGCTGTTGACTATAGTCGCTTCTCCCCAGACTCCATCCATGGCATGGATTCAGTCTCATAGTGTACAATCCCTTGGCTTAGGAGAAAAAGCTATCAAAACTAGTTTAGCAACTTTCATTTCTTGGCTTGGGTTAGCAAAAACTGACCAATGAGATTTCTTTTGGGTTCTGAGTTCGCTAAACATTTCCATTAACCATGTTTCTCCCTGGCTCCTAGTTTGACTGCAACACTGGAATATGTGGAGGAGAAGACCAATGTGGATTCCGTGTTTGTAAACTTCCAAAACGACCGGAATGACAGAGGTGGGAATCTGCTCTGTCCTTGGCCCTTGGTGCTGAAGCAGCTAACAGTGACTTTTTCTTTTTAAGAGACCCTCTTTCCCCAACTCTTTAAAAAGGCAATGCTCCAGCGTTTCAGTCCTCCCCCCCCCCCCCCCCCCCGCCCCACCGCTAAGGAAATGAAGGTATTTAGCATTCTGTTCAAGTTACAGGTCTATTAGGAAGTCCCTGCAGGTAGATCTCAGAAGCCAGACTAAAGGACCACTGGTGAAATTAGACAGAATCCATTCAAGGGATGTGGCTGGTAGGACAGAAAGGATATTGAATGTATTAAGCACCAACAGTATGAAAGGGTTGGGCATAAGGCCAGAATAGGAATATAACCAGATGCTTGGAGCACATGTTACAGAAACCACAACCTCTTCCCTCAAGGACTTCATACTCTGTTGTATTTAAGACAAAGGATGGTCAAGAGTTTATAATACCATCATTGTGTTAGGCACTTCATAAACATCTTGTTTAATCTTTTTTTCCCCTATGGGAATTTACTCTTTATTTTATTGAGTTTAGAGAGAGAGAAGGAAGAGGGAGAGAGGAGAAACATAACTGGTTGCCCCCACACATACACCAACTGGGGATCAGGCCTGCAACCAGGGTATTGCCCTGACTGGAAACTGAACCCGTGACCTTTCAGTACATAGGACAACACTCCTACCAACTGAGCCACACAGACTAGGGCCATCTTATTTAATCTTAAATTCTGTGAAGAAAGTTCTATAGTCCTCATTTTACGAATGAGAAAAAAAGTTCAGAAGGGTTAATTCGTAAAATGTCACAAAGTAAATGTTAAAGCCAGGGTTAGAGCTTAAGTCTGTTTGAGTCCAAAGCACATCATCCTAATACCTGCACTACACACCCTCCCCACATCCATTCCTTAGTGGAAAACAATGGAAATCTGGGGGAACAGTGGTATTGAATTTGAGTTTTCTAATTTGTTCTCTCTTTTCACAGGTGCCCTGCTTCGGGCCTTCAGCTACATGGGCTTTGAGCTGGTCAGACCAGGTCACCCTGCCCTCCCTCCCTGGGACAATACCATCTTTATGGTGTATCCCCTTGAAAGGGATCTGGGCCACCTGCCCAGTGAGCCTCCCTGAACATGCTTATTCATACTCTGTGAGGGGCTGGAGGCCTTGATAAGTGGGACCAGGATGTGATTCTGGACACCTCCTTGTATCCTAGGAATAAAGGGTAGTGCAATCCTCCAGTGCTCACTGTTTCTTGGGGGAAAGTTGGGGTTGACTGGAGTGGAACATGGGCCTTACAGAGCTGAATGAATTCACTGTAGGAGAAACATTCAATGACTGAAAAGATCAGACGGAGCTGAACAGAGAGGAAAGGGACACAAGGATTTTAGGTTCCTTTTGCCTTCCCCTCACCCAAAGCCATTTCCCCATTTATTCTAACCATTTACTGAACAGCTGTCAAGAGCAAGAACCAAGCCTTATTGGGAGATTTTCATTCATATATTTCAGTTCAAATTGGAGACAAGTGCTAATTCCTTCTCTTTGGATGTAGAGATGAGAAGAGGCACATGGGTCCCCTGACTTTGACTCAGGGGATTGCAACAGACAAAGTAAGAAATAGGAAGCACAGGCATTCCGGGAGCAGGAAAAGTACAGGCTCGTGTTGGAAGACTAAGGAACACATCGGAATGGGATGTAAACTGACAAGACTTAAAGGCCACTTAAAGGAACAAACTTTTACACACAGCAGCTAGGAACGAGACACTACTTATTTTCCATAGCAAGAAGTTCTATGAATGATTTATGTTAGGGGTTCGCTCTACTTCACAGTGAAGGCTGAGGAGCTGAGGAAACTAGGGACTAAGTGACCTCATGACCTTGTAGAGTGGCTCCAATTCCAGGGCTAAGCCAAGGTCTGAAAGGTCAGTGGTAGCCCTGCGTTGAATTTTCTAAAACTACTCATCAGAGGTGCTCCTTCACAGGAGTGCCTCTGCTAAGTGGCACTGAGATGTTTAAAAAAATATTTTTATTGACTTCAGAGAGGAAGGAAGAGGGAGAGATAGATACATCAATGATGAGAATCAAGGATTTGCTGTGTCCTGCACGCCCCCCTATTGGGAATCGAGCCCACAACCTGGGTATGTGCCCTGGACTGGGAATTGAACTCAGGACCTTTACAGTCTGCAGGCCAACGTTCTGTCCATTGAACCAAACTGACCAGGGCAAGCACTGAGATTTTTGAGAAAATTTTTGAAAATTGTGGCTATGGGAAAATAGAATTGCCATGTAATATATGGGTAGACCTCACTAATTCCTAGATTTTACATTTTTTTCATAGGGAAAGAGGAGGAGAGAGGGATAGAGAGATGGAAACATTGATTAGAGAGAGACATTGGTCAGCTGCCTCCTACAGACCCTCTACTGGGGATTGAGCCCATAACCCAGGCATGTGCCCTGACCAGGAATCAAACCGGGACCTCTTGGTTCATGGATCGATAGCCACTGAGCCACACTGAGCGGGCACTAATTCCTAGATTCAAAAAAACCTGCACAAGACATCCTTATGTGCTATTTCAAGTTTTCAGTTTACTCTGCTGATCCTTAAAAAAAAAAAAAAGTTAATTTGCCATTATTCTACCACCCACACTATATTGATAATATTTACTTCAAGTACCTTCCCAGTTCTCATTGGATCCTGACAATACTCAGAGGAAACAGGCTCCCTAGAGTCCAGAGATTTATTTCTAGAACCCAGGCTTCTAGAATCATAATCCAGGCTTTTTATTTCCAATACTTTAGGTGGGGTCTTTTTTACACAGTCCAAACCTAAGTTGGTTCTGGTAACTTTAGGGAAAGAATAAGATCTATACATGGAGGAACACTTGTTATAGATGGACCCTTCTATGTGAGGTGTTCATAATTTTCACCAGATTTAGGTTCAGAAGAGATACCCAAAGACCTGCTTCCACCTTGTGATTCAACCAGCATTTAGTTTTAGATCATTTTTTGATAACTTTATTCAGCAAAGAACCCCCTCCCCCAAAAAACGCTTTGAAAAACTATACATGTTTTCTTTCTCTCTCTCTTTGGGTATGTGCATACACAAATATATAGTAGATACTATACTAGCAATTTAGAATATTTCCTGAGCTGCCTCTCTTCTTATATTTTAACCAAAATGTACAGGAAAATAGAGTACTGTTTTCAAAAAACCTGTCTCCAATAAATTCAGCAGTTGAGGCTGGGAGGCAGCATTCTTTTCCCAGTTCATGAGGATTTTTAATAAAAATATGCTGATTTTTTTCCCTTTGCCTCCTGACTGAACTGCAGTCTTTGAGTTAGTTCATCATTAAAAAACTTTCCTTAACCAGAGTCAGAACTATGCAGAATCATCACCTCCAATGACCAAACCCTGGCTACTTCCCAGCCTCAAAAAGGACTAGCAGGAGTGTGCATTCTGACTGGTGGAGGGAACAGTCAGATGTTGAACAGCCTGGACATAATGCAGCAGTATTCAAACACTGGAAGGGTCGGGGTGGGGTGGAGAGTGGAGTAGGAACATACATTTGTCTCCTGCCCTACATTCTTTCTGGTCGTCCCAAGGAAGGAAGAAAACGCATTTGGTCCACAGCAAGTCAGACTGTGTATTAATAAAGGACTGCACAGAGATCTTTATCATAGGCTCCTCTCTCCAGGTACCAAATCCTGCCAAAAACACAAAGACACAAAAAGCTTGAAAGGACTCAATCTGAGAGCATGTTAAGCTACAGGAAAGCAGCTGCAGAGAAGCAGTGTTTAGATAGGCTGTGGGGAAGAGACTAAGCAAGGCCCCTGTTGTCACCCTCGTTACTTTTCCTGTTGCTACGGATAGATGATGGCTCCACTCACAAAGCAAAGCAGATGGCCGAGGCAGCTGAAGCAGACTTCAGATTAAGTAGTCCTCTTCAAGGTTATCATCACCAGACACAGAGGCAGCCTCTACACAGCAGGGATGAGGAGAAAGTTAGACACTGCCCTAATGGAGCAGGCATCGCCACTGAGGCTCGGGCATGCTCAATGACCACCTTGGTTAAGGGCCAAGCCTTACAAGCTCCCTAGTTTGGAGAGACTGACTGAGAAGTGGTAGCTTCCAAAGACGCTCTAGGGAGTAAATGCTGCTTGTACCTGATAAGCTGAGGCAGGACAGGGTGTTTGCCATCTCTCCAGGGCTCTTCTTACTCTCAGTGAACATGCTGCTGAGAGAGGCAGCTGCTTCTGTGGCCTGAGAGATGAAAACAAGAGGAAAAGGAAGACTATGTGAGCTGGTGGGAAAGGAGCGGCCACTCTCACTCTGCTCACAGGATCTGGTTCAGGCAGTTGAGCTGGTAGCTGAGAGGGACACAGTGCCCGCTCCGATAACCTAGGAAAGCACTCTACAAAATGTCATGCATGACTAGAAGCCCTCATGTTTCGCAAGGCACGAGCTTTGCCCCAAAGCAGCACCCTCAATGACTGCAATAGTTCACTCACTCACCGCACTGTGCAACATGCCTGGGACAGTTCCGTTTTCCTCCATGTCTTCAGGAAGCTCAACTGCATATCCTTTACGAACTAATTCTAACCCAATATCAAGTTTCTGAGGAGAAAAACGAAAAGGGAATCATGTTCTCTCTGTAAGGAAGGGCACATCTGAAGAAACAGCAGAAGAGCTAAGATTGATACTTGCAGGATCTTACAAAGTAGGAGTAACATCAGATAGGTTTTCTGGGACAGAAAAAGTAAATGAATCTATAAATATACTAAAGCTAGTGAGCAATGAGTGAACCCCAATCTTACCTTCCCATTGCTAGTATCATATAAGTAGATCTTGGGCCAAGTTGAGGCCCCAGTCTGGACATAGCTAGAGATCTTGGCCACCAAGGGCTTCCAGTCAGCACAGTGAGTAAGTCTGTCAAACTCATCCAAAGCTTCCTCTTCCCACTGTTCACCTGATAAAAGATTGTAGGGAGAGCCCAAGAAGGGGTCAGTGCTGACATGGGGAGGATTATACCCTGGAGGGAAACTGAAACTACCTCTTTCTACTCTGGAAGGCACTTATGTCTGACTGCCAGGCCAGTTTCTGGCTGTTGCTTTCTAGTGCTGGTGAGGAAAAGACACCTGAGCCCCTTTAACTCAAAAAAGTCTTGGAACGTGAGGACTCCTCCCATGTGCTGTATCAAAGTTATTCTATTTGGAGGCAAGGTCAGTAAGTGTTGTGACAACTTACCTGCGGGGGCGATCTGCGCCAGACTACACTCAATTGCTTGAAATGGAAGGCTTAGGAAGTCACTCCTAAAGTGAAAGAAATTGAAATTAGACTCCTGGTGCCAGAGGGCCTGCTTACATTCCTTGCTTCTGACCAACCCAGCAGGAGAAGATAATCTTCTGTTCTATGTAAATAGGTTCTCCCAAATCCCCCTGGTGATGAGTGCCAACAGCTAGCTCACCACCCTGTGGCTAGGGTTGAGTCAACAGTTGGCACTCCAGCCGGATTCTACTCTGGCCTCCACACTGACCTGAGTGCCCTGAGGTCCCTCACTGGGCAATCTCCATTATCTCCAAAGTCAACAAAGTAGAGGTCCAGGTTCCCATTCTCCAAGGTGCCAAGGACCCGGGCTCGATACCAGGAACCATTTGTAGATAAAGGAGCTGCTACAATGTCTCCTACATGCACAGTTAAGTCGTCAGGCTATACATGGGGATAGGAGTCAGGAGGGGTTAGAGTTAGGAAGGGGTAGGCTTAAAAATAAACAGATAGTGTCAGAAGGAAAAAAGAACAAGTAGTTGCTCCACAGGAAAAGGAAAAAAATATACCACAAAAAGATATGCCCTTTTTTTCATCAGACCGAGCCCTGTCCCTTTGGCAACTCACCAGACTATTCCTATAGTGCTGGGTCATCTCACTGACAAGCTTATCCAATTGCAGGCTTCGGGAGCCAATGATCTGGATCCAGAAATGGTTAGGATGTTCAGAAGCAGAGACGTAGACTTCTAGGAACTCATCAGCATGGAAACTGAAGTCAGGACTGGGAACTAAACACAGGGATAAGCAAGTTAAGCTGCAGAATCCTCACCATCTAATATGGCAATCATATCAGAATCACCTCTGGTTGGAATGACTAGACTGCATCAGGGGGTACAAATACCAAGTGGCTATTACCATTTTAGAAGTGGCTGGAGGGACAACTGGATGAATCATACAAGAACATCCTGAAGAG